TCAGATGTGAAAAATGAAGATTGTTGAGCAGTGGGGTCTGATAGACACTGATAGACAGGGCGAGAGGAGGGGACGTGCTCTGCATACGAAACATTCAGAATTACACCATCCCCCTAAATACAAACTCATACAATGTAGATATTTTTATCCCAATATTTGAAGTGCAACTGAACTTTACATGTTAAGCTTTTGTTCCTTTGCATATTGAGGAACTATTTGGAAGCTTGGTACTTTTCATAGTCCTGCTGGAACTGATACATAGCAGTTAAGATGGTTGGTGACAGGGTTAGGTTGCTCTGAAGAATTTAGGCTTGACAGTATGTATGTATCTAATGTATCTACAAGAATCACCCCTTTTGTCTCATCAGCTCCCCTTATCAAAATTTTTTTGGGAATCATCAGTATGTTTTGCTACATGTGATGCTACTTTGTGTTCTTTTAGCTTTGGAGCATTTTTAACATTGTTGCTTTTTTAGGCTGGAAAGTCTCCCATTGATGTTTATTTTATTGCTGGATTATTAATGTGGACCTTAACTGAGGCAAATGAGGTCTGCAGTTCTTCAGATCTGTCTTCTAGTTTTCTTTTTCTTTTTTTTTGGTGACTTTTAGAGCAGCGTTTGATGGGGAAAAGTTCTTGGCAGGTTTACCTTCGTTTTTTACTTTCTCACTGTTTATGACTATCACTGATATTCACTTGAGTCCCAAAAAAATACACATTGGGAAATATCGTTTTCTCCATAGTAGAAATAGAGAATAAGATCTTTAACCTCTTTTATGTTGATTACGCAATTTATTTGATTCTCTACATCCAGCAATAATGACAACTAAGTGTGGCTGGTAAAACATGAACTCCAGCAGTGTAGTAAGTCAAGTGTAATCCATAATCTTACATTGCTTTTTTCAATATTGGAACAGGTTGGTTCGGATAAACATTCACTTTAATGAAGGAAGCTCTAATTTAAATCTACTTTGTGTATTTACTGATGCAGGTTTTGTGCAACATAATATTTATGATTATCTAAAAGATTTAAGTGCAACAGAAAAGCAAAAATCCTCTATTCATTTTCACTGTACTTTATTTGGGGTGATGAGAAGCAATGTGGCAGCAGCGTTAATCTTTGATTTGTTGAAAGTGTAAACTTGAAATATATTTGAAATGGCAATTTTCTCCTTTGTAAGGAGGGTTAATTACTGTACCTAGACTTTACTCTAATTGTGTATTCAAGTCCTTGAAAATAATCACCTGAAAAGGTTCTAATAGGCTAAATGTGTGAGAGAATAGAGTATCAACAGTTTTCTGTAATTAACATGATTATCTGCCTAAATACACTCACCGGCCACTTTATTAGGTACCCCATGCTAGTAACGGGTTGGACCCCCTTTTGCCTTCAGAACTGCCTCAATTCTTCGTGGCATAGATTCAACAAGGTGCTGGAAGCACTCCTCAGGGAGTTTGGTCCATATTGACATGATGGCATCACACAGTTGCCGCAGATTTGTCGGCTGCACATCCATGATGCGAATCTCCCGTTCCACCACATCCCAAAGATGCTCTATTGGATTGAGATCTGGTGACTGTGGAGGCCATTTGAGTACAGTGAACTCATTGCCATGTTCAAGAAACCAGTCTGAGATGATTCCAGCTTTATGACATGGCGCATTATCCTGCTGAAAGTAGCCATCAGAAGTTGGGTACATTGTGGTCATAAAGGGATGGACATGGTCAGCAACAATACTCAGGTAGGCTGTGGTGTTGCAACAATGCTCAATTGGTACCAAGGGGCCCAAAGAGTGCCAAGAAAATATTCCCCACACCATGACACCACCACCACCAGCCTGAACCGTTGATACAAGGCAGGTTGTATTCATGCTTTCATGTTGTAGACGCCAAATTCTGACCCTACCATCCGAATGTCGCAGCAGAAATCGAGACTCATCAGACCAGGCAACGTTTTTCCAATCTTCTATTGTCCAATTTCAATGAGCTTGTGCAAATTGTAGCCTCAGTTTCTTGTTCTTAGCTGAAAGGAGTGGCACCCGGTGTGGTCTTCTGCTGCTGTAGCCCATCTGCCTCAAAGATCGAAGTACTGTGCGTTCAGAGATGCTCTTCTGCCCACCTTGGTTGTAACGGATGGTTATTTGAGTCACTGTTGCCCTTCTATCAGCTCGAACCAGTCTGGCCATTCTCCTCTGACCTCTGGCATCAACAAGGCATTTCCGCCCACAGAACTGCCGCTCACTGGATGTTTTTTCTTTTTCGGACCATTCTCTGTAAACCCTAGAGATGGTTGTGCGTGAAAATCCCAGTAGATCAGCAGTTTCTGAAATACTCTGACCAGCGCTTCTGTCACCAACAATCATGCCACGTTCAAAGTCACTCAAATCACCTTTCTTCCCCATACTGATGCTTGGTTTGAACTGCAGGAGATTGTCTTGACCATGTCTACATGCCTAAATGCACTGAGTTGCCGCCATGTGATTGGCTGCTTAGAAATTAAGTGTTAACGAGCAGTTGGACAGGTGTACCTAATAAAGTGGCCGGTGAGTGTATAAAGACAAGCTTAGTGTTAACTTGCAGCCTAAGTCATTTGAACTAAGCTGAAAAGGAAAAGTTGGCTCTTTTATGAATTTCAGTTCAATTAAAGTCAGTCTATTTACAGTATATATCGCCAATTCACAACACGTCATCTCAAGGCACTTTACAATTCAACCAGATCATCCATTCAAATTGATTCAAAGTTTTCTGTCTAAGGAAAACCAGTAGATTGCATCAACTCATGGCTTCAAAGGCAATCCCTCACAATAAGCATGCTTGTAGTGACAGTGGAGAGGGAAATTTTCCTTTGAATAGGAAGAAACCTCCAGCAGAACCAGGGTCAGTGCGGCCATCTCCCGAGGCTGACTGGGGTTCAAGGAGACAGAAGCAGAGATATAAAAGGCAACTGTTAACTAGCTCCACAGGTGGCGCCGTCCAGGAAAGGCACAGCCAGGCAGACGCTCCAGGGCAGCTCCCATGTCAGAAGATGTCTGAGGATCCAGTTAGTCACAGTCAGAGAAACAGGACTAAACTGAAAAACACACCAAGCTCAAACATCTATAAACAAAGGTGTTGATGGAAGCAGCACAGCTGATATTTCTCTCCAGGATGGAGTCAAAGCCAAACAGTAAAAGACCAGATGAAGAAAAAGCAGAGTGGGATAATAGAGATAAATTGAGAAAGGGGTCTCTATGTCCTCCAGCAGTCTAAGCCCATAGCAGCATAAGTATAGAGATTTGTCATCTACAATCCCAAAAGTAAAAAGTATATAGCAATGAGTTCTTAGATGCATGATTTTCTATTGTGGCCCTTTGAATGCCCTGTCAACCTCCAACCTCCATTTTTGTTGAGCAAATGGTCAACCATTCGGTTGACTTGGCAGTTAAAGGGCTAAGATTTAAACAGATGCATTTAAGTTTTGGCTTGGTTGACTTCTGTTTTCAATGGGGCTTCACTCGGCCAAAGTTTTTCAGGGAGACATCAACCCACACCCAAACACACAAACAGCCTGTGATTGTTAGCATGTCTGCATCATTTATTGGTGGTAGCTTTTAAAGAAAAGATTGAAAATTGCTATTGTTGGTGTTCAGGTGGTATCAGACGTACACTCACCGGCCACTTTATTAGGTACACCTGTCCAACTGCTCGTTAACACTTAATTTCTAAGCAGCCAATCACATGGCGGCAACTCAGTGCATTTAGGCATGTAGACATGGTCAAGACAATCTCCTGCAGTTCAAACCAAGCATCAGTATGGGGAAGAAAGGTGATTTGAGTGACTTTGAACGTGGCATGATTGTTGGTGCCAGAAGCGCTGGTCAGAGTATTTCAGAAACTGCTGATCTACTGGGATTTTCACGCACAACCATCTCTAGGGTTTACAGAGAATGGTCCGAAAAAGAAAAAACATCCAGTGAGCGGCAGTTCTGTGGGCGAAAATGCCTTGTTAATGCCAGAGGTCAGAGGAGAATGGCCAGACTGGTTCGAGCTGATAGAAGGGCAACAGTGACTCAAATAACCATCCGTTACAACCAAGGTGGGCAGAAGAGCATCTCTGAACGCACAGTACTTCGATCTTTGAGGCAGATGGGCTACAGCAGCAGAAGACCACACCGGGTGCCACTCCTTTCAGCTAAGAACAAGAAACTGAGGCTACAATTTGCACAAGCTCATTGAAATTGGACAATAGAAGATTGGAAAAACGTTGCCTGGTCTGATGAGTCTCGATTTCTGCTGCGACATTCGGATGGTAGGGTCAGAATTTGGCGTCTACAACATGAAAGCATGAATCCAACCTGCCTTGTATCAACGGTTCAGGCTGGTGGTGGTGGTGTCATGGTGTGGGGAATCTTTTCTTGGCACTCTTTGGGCCCCTTGGTACCAATTGAGCATTGTTGCAACACCACAGCCTACCTGAGTATTGTTGCTGACCATGTCCATCCCTTTATGACCACAATGTACCCAACTTCTGATGGCTACTTTCAGCAGGATAATGCACCATGTCATAAAGCTGGAATCATCTCAGACTGGTTTCTTGAACATGGCAATGAGTTCACTGTACTCAAATGGCCTCCACAGTCACCAGATCTCAATCCAATAGAGCATCTTTGGGATGTGGTGGAACGGGAGATTCGCATCATGGATGTGCAGCCGAAAAATCTGCGGCAACTGTGTGATGCCATCATGTCAATATGGACCAAACTCCCTGAGGAGTGCTTCCAGCACCTTGTTGAATCTATGCCACGAAGAATTGAGGCAGTTCTGAAGGCAAAAGGGGGTCCAACCCGTTACTAGCATGGGGTACCTAATAAAGTGGCCGGTGAGTGTATGTGTTTGTGTTGAATTTCTCACGTGCAATTTTTCTGAACTTGGCTTTATATTCACTTGCACTTCTAGATGACTAATTTAGAGTCCTGCTGGGTTTTGTAAATTTCTTATTTTAAATGTTTTGTCTCTTGCACAGGAAAACTGCTACGGTGGACCGGAGTGAACTAGCCTGCTTGCTGACTCATCTCCTGATCCATCCCCTTGTCTGTCTGAGAAGCTATCTGATGACAGAACTTCGGAGGAAGGAGAAAAAGGACTACCTGCTATGGCCAGTGGTAAATGATAAAGATAGAATTTCCTGTAGACCCTTTTATCCATTAAGATCCTGAAAGGAGGATCCTCTGTTCAATGATTTTTCTGACTTAGTTTCTATCTGTTATAGCAGCTGATGGTCCAGGTAACATTGGAGCCGAGCAGGACCAGCTAAACGTCCCTGTAGCTGATCATGGAGCCTGGGCCACGGCAATGAATAACCTGGGCATCATGACGGTGGGGATCAGCGGGCAGCAGCTCGTTTCAGGTACTAAGCTCTCTCAACCTGAATATTGAACAGCGTGGACTCATCTTTGGGAAAAGATGAATGTATGCTTCTTTAGTGTTCTTTCATCTGTTTTCATCTACAATTCTTATTGTCTAGGGTGAGATATGGAGGGCATTTATTCCAAAGTTGAACAAATGAATGCACTAACATCCAAATGAACGGAGCAGTTCTACATTGCCTGGTTTCCAGGGATATTTTAAATGATAGACCAATACAAAGTTCTTTTTAAATGGGATTTTATAAAAAAAATACATGTTATGAAATAATATTTAAACCTTTGAGCAGAGAAAATTACATTTCAGTTCATCAGTCCACAGAACCTATCAACCTATCAACTATATTTCTATAAGAGTCTTAAAAGGCGTATTGTGTCATAAAGCAGAATCTTAGTGGTGACCAAGCAGCATCAACTATTCTAAGTCATTCTAGATTTGAAAATGATAAAATGTGGTTATTCCCGATGCTATTTTCTTCAAGATTTCATCAATTTCATAGTGTTTCAAGAGTTTGTTTTAGCTCTGTGTTTTAATTCACTATCCTGTTGAATTGTGACAGAGGCCAAGCTTTCTAATACTGAGTAACACATTTTTCTCTAGAATCCCTTGATGGGCTTGAAATTCAACTGTACCTTGCAGAGATTCTGGACCCCTGTGCTAGATGAAGCATAGAAGTCTCATAACATAACAGGGCCTTCTCCACGTTTCACAGTTGGAACAGGGTTCTTCTTTTAGTAGCCCTCTTTTTTTTCTGTCTTTGTGTCTTTCTGTCTTTGAACATAAAGATGATGGGACTTAGTAAAAGCTTTTGTCCATTGGACATTCTCCGAAAAGGTTTGTGGCTGTCAACATGTAGTTTGACAAATTCCATATGAACTTTAATATTTGTTTTGAACAATGGTATTCTCCTTGGTTGACTTCCATTAAGTCTACTTTGGTTCAAACAACAGATTGTGAGATCTGACACTGATGTTCTTTGAGCTTGAGGTTCACCTTTTATCTCTTTTGATGTTTCTCTGGGCTCTTTAGGTACCGTTACAGTATCCATCTGTTTGACTTGTCATCAATTTTCCTCCTGCAGTGACATCCAAGGAGGTTGACCACACTCCCATGGATCTTGAATTTCTGAATAATATATCCCACAGGAACATCAAGCTGAAAAAGGTGTTTTAGCCTTTACCTTTAACAAGATTATCTAAAATTTTCTCTCTAAGGTCCATGTTGACTGCGGTACACACTGTGTCACCAAAAAGCATAGTGATTACCTACCTATATATATATATATATATATATATATATATATATATATATATATATATATATATATATATATATATATATATATATATATATAGGCCCACTGATTGGTTACAACATTCCAGACACCTGGGATAAAGCGATTTTGTCCAGAGGATGAAACCTCCAGTAGAACCACCCTTAGCCTGAGTGGCCCTGTACCAAGGCTGGAGCTTCCAGGAGACAGAAGCAGACATAAATAAGGAACATAGATCGATAAATACTTTCTATGTTAAAAGAATTAACATAATTGAAGATGTTGATGGCAGCAGCCCAAATAATATTTCCCACCAGGACAGTTTCAAAGCTAATCATGACCAGACCAAAGGAAACTAATCTAACAAGAAAGAGCAGAGACAACATTTACACATGCAGTATAGGTGTTCATACTATGTAGTGGCTGAACGAAAGGCTTTTGTGGCCATTTGTTAGTATACTGATCAGACACACTCTTAGCAGCTCAAAATTATTTGCTGCATTATTATTATGTCTTATCAAATGTGATGTGATTTTAATTTTATTTTAAAGTTTAATAACTTAAAAATTGTTTAATCAAAGAAAAAACAATCCCAGACAAAATTAATTGAGATTCTGTAGCTGGACTTAAATATTACTGACCATATATGTGGATTATCTTGGAGCTGGTAAATATTTTAGTTTCTAGATATGCGGAGCGGGTACAGACATAATGCGACAGATATGCCACCATTACGCCAACAAATAGTGAGTCTAAAAAATATTCAATTCAGTTTATTTATATAGAGCAAATTCACAACTCATGTCATCTCAAGGCACTTTACAGTTCACCAGATCATACAGTCAAATTGATTCAAAGTTTGCTATCTAAGGAAAACCAGTTGATTGCATCGACTCATTGACTCGAAGGCAATCCCTCAGATTAAGCATGCTTGTAGCAACAGTGGAGAAGAAAACTCCCTTTTAACAGGAAGAAATCTCCAGAAGAACCAGATTCAGTGTGAGGGGCCATCTGCTGAGGCCGACTGGGGTTCAAGGAGACAGAAGCAGAGACACAAAAAGCAGCTGTAAAAGGCGGCCCCGTCCAGGAAAACACACAGCCAGGCAGACGAGCTCCAAGCCTGCTCACGTGTCAGAGGACGGAGAGAGCACATCCAGCCAGAGAAGCAGGACTACACTGAAAAACAAGCCGATCTCAAACATCTATAAACAAATGTGTTGATGGAAGCAGCATAGCTGATATTTATCTCCAGGGTTGAGTCACATCCAAAAGGAACAGACGAGGCAAAGCTACTATGAGAAAAAGCAGAGAGAGCAGAACGTTAGAGATTGAACTAATAGATTCTGCAGAGTAGGAGAATAGAGATAGAATGAAGCAGAATGATGAAGTATTGACTCAGATCTTAGAAAAATAAATGTCCACCTATTTTTTCCCTCTTCAAATTTATACATTGCTTTGCATTGGTCAGTTGGCAATAATCGTCCTTAAATCTAGTTTCAAACTAAAGTTGTAATGTCTTAAAAGCACTATTATCCAAGGGTTAATTAATAAACCCAGGACTTTTTTCTGTCCTGTCAGAAAATCTACAAAAAAAGGGCACTTGTGAAATAACTATCTTGTGCTTCAAAATTTTTCGTTGTAATAGGATGAATTCTTAAATAATTATGATGAAAAAACCATAAAAATCATCAAATGCTGTTAATTGGGCATATCTTGTTATTAGCAGAGAAAGAGAAGCAGGACTCCCACAAAACTTTCATCCTTACGGTTCTTTCAGTTACAAAGCTGCTTTCCATCTTTTTTAAGTTATGTTTCCAAATTCTCAGCTATGACAGTTTTGTTGATAAGGCAGGGCTCAAAACAGCAGCTTTTGCATCTGGATTTGATATATCTGTCAGGTTTGTCCTCATTCTTTCTCCACATGTTATGTACTCTTAAAAAGAATATTATGTATTGAAGTTCCGAACTTCACTGCAAACTCTGAGGGAGTTATCTGTTACTTAACATGTTCCACACAGTGCCTTAAAATACGGCTTAGCTCCAAATATACAAGCATGCTAGTACTGCAAAAAGTGTCCGTCTAACCAAGTCTTAGGGACCTGTTTTTGGCAAAAAGTCCTTTTGATCTAACTTTGAAATTGATACGATAATATGAGCAGATTATGTTATTAATCTTCTTTTTAGAATATTCTTCTCAAAAAAAAGTTCAATAATCTGCCTATGCAGTAAGACAATTGCAGTTGCTAAGACTTCCTTTTTTGAGAATAATCCAACAAAATCTGCTCTTGCTTAGTGTATTAAGATCAAAATTACTTTTCGGGAGGATATACGATTGAAAAACTTGGTTAGTTAGACATTTTTTGCAGTATAGTATTTCTGCTACATAAACAGGTTTCTTTTTATTTCATCATCATGGTGTATTTTATGTCATTATCAGTCCATGGATTTAATTTGGTATAGGAAGATTATGTTCTAGTTATGAAGTACAGACATCGATACCTTCCAAGGTTTACTGCAAAGTGGACAAAATACCAGAAAGAAAAGGCATGGAAATAATCAGAAAGATTAATGAAATTTAGTTACCTTCACCTCTTGCAGCAGCTTCAGACTCTGATACATGTGGTAACATTTAGGAAAACAAGGAGAAATGGGACATGAAGTGAATCTGATGTGACTTTAAAAGTTTAACCTAAATCACTAAAGTACATGTTGACATATCTGACGGATATAGCTGGAGATAGATGCTGGAGATCGGCCTGTTGTCTAGTGTTGTCCTTTTTCTCTGACTGTGACTGGCTAGGTGTGCTATCTTCATCCTCTGACATGGGAGCTGGTCTGCCTGGCCTGTTTGCCTGTTTCCTGGACGGGGCCTGCTTTTACAGCTGCTTTTTGTATCTCTGCTTCTGTCTCCTTGAACCCCAGTCAGCCTCGGCAGATGGCCGCTCACACTGAGCCTGGTTCTGCTGGAGGTTTCTTCCTGTTAAAAGGGAGTTTTTCCTCTCCACTGTCGCTAGTGGAGAGGAAAACGTGACAAGAATTGAGATAAAAGCTCAGCTAGGAAGTCCACCTAATGTCACTTCCTGTAATGTTTGGTTTTACCTTTAAAGGCATTCATTTTTACCAGTAAAGGCATTCATTTTTCATTCATACCTCAAACTATGCTTGCATGCATAGTTTGAGGGATTGCATTTGAGTCAATGAGTCAATGCAATTAACTAGTTTTCCTTAGATAGAAAACTATGAATCAATTTTACTGTATGATCTGATTGAACTGTAAAGTGCCTTGGGATGACGTGTGTTGTGAATTGGCACTATATAAATAAACTGAATTGAATTGAATAGCTCTACATTTATAAAGTGGTGGTGAAGCATTTGCATGAATGAATTATGACCATAAATGTTTTTTGTTTTCCTGGTGTTAGAGTCATTTTGGAGGGATGCACCCATCATGAAGTAGTCCTCTGCTGCTTATCAGTTTTTAGAACTTCCAGTATTATCCATTACAGTGTTGTTGGTTTGTACCAGGAGTCCTACAGGATCTTAGCTTTGTTATTTTCCTCAACCTTGGAATGCGGTTCCCACTTTGACCTAGTTCTTTTTCCTGACAAGTGTTTCTATACACTAAGCATACAATTAGTTATGACATTTTATGTAATCCTTTCCTGCCTTAGACATTTTTGTGTGATCATGCTCGTCTCTGAGTCTTTTTT